TTTTTTTTACAATTTGTTTTATCCTGCAAAAGAAGTACACACACTTCAGCTTATTTTGAATCTTTAGCAATCCCATCAATGTCTCATCTCTTATGCAAACCAGCTTGCCTGAATAAGCCTTTTGATGAATGGCTCTGTCCAAACAGTCTGCACAAGTGCTAGGCTGAGAGGATTTGCCCATCTTTAAACATGAGAGGAGGGCTGTCTCAGTAGCATGCTGTTTTTAAGTGAAGTTAGAATTAATGTGGCTTGCTGGGGTAAACTCCGATGAAAGTGCACAGGCAGGCATTGATAAATGACGTTTATACTGGCATTTTTCTCTAAACATCTGCACTGTCTCACATCTTAGCTTTGTTTTCATAAAGCAGTGATCTTTCAGGCCTTATTTGTAGTATCTGCCGTTAACTAAAATTTGAATGTGCACACTGTCCTGGCCCACAATTCATACAAGATGCATGTTCAAAGTTGCACTTAAAAGAGTTGTTTACAAGTGTTCAGGGCTGGCGTGCGGAGGAGGAGATGAGTAATTTGGGTTATTTTCAATCTAATATCATGCCGTCTATTAACACGGACAGACAGTGCTAAAAAAAAATCAGTTTTACCATCACGGAATAAAAATCCATTTTAAAATATATAAAAATAGAAAAGTTATTTTAAATTGTAATAATTTCACAATATTGGTGTATTTACTGTGTGTTTGTGATCAAATACATGCAGCCTTGGTGAGCTAGGTGACATCTTTAAAAACATTTTAAAATCTTCCCAAATCCCGAACCTTTCAACGGTTGTGTATATTACCAAATGAGAAATGCATTTACAGTACATACTGTTACAGTGGACTTGTCTGTGCTTCGCTCCTGCCCGCAGCTCATTGTGCTGGACGCTCCGGTGAGTATGAGGAAAATCCCAAAATCCCCCACTCCCAAACAGCACCTCGGAAGTCTGCCCACAACATTTGAATTTCCCCCATCGACTCCTTCTGCTATCCCTCCCCAGCATTGATGGAAATGAGGATTGCTAGTAGTCAGGATGTTAACAAGTAGATTATTGACACTTTGGGATGGGATCAGTCATATTATCCCAAAGTATGCTAGTCGTACAGATCCCTTAAGTTTAACTGGCAGGCCTCTCTCTGGACTTTAAATGTTTTGCAGGTGGAGGAGAGTGAGAATGAGTGGTCTGTTCCTCACTGTTTCACCATATATTCCGCTCAGAGGACCATTGTGGTGGCAGCTAGGTGAGTGCATATGAAAGAAATTACTTTCACACTGTGTTTAAGTAGGACTGGGAATCATGATTCATTTTTTGATTTGGTTGAAAAATTTGGGTTTCGAGTATTTAATTATTCTAATAACGATTTCATTCCAATGATTTTTATTTTTTTTTGCAATGTTGAGAAATAAAGAACAATTTTGTATATGTTCTACACTTAGCAGCCTGTTGAAATAATGAGATCAAATTTCAACAGTAATAACAAATACATATTAAAATGAAATGCAATTATATTATACACTTTTATTGTATATTGTCATTACTTTTTTATGTACTTTTATTCAACAGAGATGTATTAAATGGATCAAACATGACCGTAAAGACTTTAATATTGTTACAAAAATTTCTATTTAAAATAAATCTGTCCTTTTTTAGTCATCAAAGAATGTTTAAAAAAAAGTAGCACTGTTTCCACAAAAATATTAAGTAGCACAACTGAAAATAGCAAGAAATCTTACTTGATCACCAAATTAGCATATTAGAATGATTTCTGAAAGAGCATGTGACACTAAAGGCTGGAGTAATGGCTGCTGAAAATTCAGCT